TTTTTTTAAATGTAAAGGAGGGGCAAAACGGATGCAGGTGAAAAGGATAATTGTAGTCTGTGAGGCTGATTTTGTATACCACTGTTCTGCTCATATGGTGCTTGTGTATCACTCTAAACTGTATTTATAATTTGTTACCATATCTTTTCTAGACAACGAGGATGTCGCTCGCAGACTCATCAAAACCGTCAAGGAAATTGCCCTCGTTCAGGAAACAATTGGCCCCGAATTGGCCTTCTACTTCCAAGACATACTGATTCACTTAAATCAATGGCTTCTGACGCCTCGAAATAACTCGGACCGCATTTCTTATGAGCAGAAGAAGAAACCTCAGATCACAGAGGTTTTGGAGGAACTGCTCACTATTTTAACCCTCGTGGCCGGCAATGAAAGAGACTTTGGCGCACGTGGTATGAAACTTGCCATTCCTACCTATCAAGTGCCAGTTCAGCGTCGAATGTGATGCCTTCCCTGGCGGAAGCTGCATATTTTTGAAAACAAACTGAGTTCTTTTTGCGCCAATAAAGAAGTCTTTTGGCCTTCTAACGTATCCTTGTTCCTTTGCATTTGGCGTTCGAGCAGCTCCAATGTTGAGGACTGTTACATGGTCATATCTTTAATGATGGAATCTTGGTTTTTATTTTGATGCTTGAAATCTGTGCGGAATGTTCTGCAGGTTCAACAAAAGTTAAATTAACAAGGGGTTTGATAGATTTGAATACTTCATTTGACCCTGTTGTGGGAAACTCCGCCCTCAATGGGATTTGAATCCCGATAGCAAGGGGGTTGCGTTAGTACAGCGAACGCTCTCGCCAGCTAATTCATGAAGCCCCACCGGTAGCCGTGTGTTTTATCCCACTCGCTGGAACACCTACATAAATTCTGAATTAGCAGACCGCCCTGACTGCAAGTTGCTGAGTGCAATGGAGGAATAAGCCCGGAGTTGCGCTTGCGCTTTCATCCTGGATGACTTATGAGGGACCAGTCATCAGTAATGATTGAAGGTGGATTGCAATTTTCACCTTTACCACGATCAAAAATATACAACTTCTACTCGGCGAACTCTCCACTGACCCCACTTTCTTAGTTGCAGTGCTGCATTCAAATAAAACTTTTAACAGGTATAAACTAGTATGAAGGTCTAAAAAATTACGAACTACTTAACTAGCGTCCCTCGTAAGGTTTACCCCCGCGTAACCTGGCTAACACATAAAACAGAGGTTGCGTCCATCTTCATGTTTAGAACTGTGTAGAGCCTTTCAGGCATACAGAAGTTTGAACTGGTGAATCCAGGACCCTTAGTTCTAGACAACTGCTTCATATTCATCTAATTTGAGCGCAAGTCAAAAAAGTCAGGCATACTGAACCAATATTATTTGCATTGGTTTATAGGATATAGATAGCCCCTTCCATTCACCCGCACAGTGATCAAGCAATTTGCAAGTCCTCATATCCGCCTGTAGCTATGACCGTCCTCAAAACAATTAAGTTGAATCACTTTCTACCTAGGCACCTATGCGTCCTCGCCAATGACGTCAATAAACCCGAACCTAGACAGTGTTTCCAGCATCAAAAAATTGACTTTGAGCACTAACTTGCGTCATCAGGCGTAGAGGCTGGACCACACTAGGAACATAATGTAAGCAAACATCCAAACGCATGGGCCTTAAATCAGCAAAACAACATCGATTTACGCACGACAAGACTTCTATAATTTGAAGGATAGTCTTCACATTATGTTACCTTATTAACGCTCAAATAGCAAAGATATGAGTTACAACGATATCGCAATCAAAAAAGAGAAAATTGATAAGTGCATAGTTCCATTGCCGCAAAGTGTGATAAAATGTATTTGGAGCGACAAATTACATTTTGCGGGGGCGTTTTAACACTGTCTTAATTTTATGCGCGTTGAAAGATTCATGTAGTTGTGCCAAATCTCCCGAAATGTTTCCTTTATGTGCTTTTTCTCCAAAAAAATCACCATCAGTGTATCGATGGGGTACAAGAGGATAGTCAGTATGCATTAAATTTCAAGTAAAACGCAATGGCCCTGAGATTATAATTTCGACAGCTGGACCGTTAGACAAAAGACAGGCAACGTCCCATCTGCATTACATCATCCTGGCTTTTGCAACTAACCTAGGATGATCCTTCTCTACTTTGAATGAAGACTTCTGTCATCATCACGAAAAACTCTCTTTGAATTGTTCGTGTCAATTTTATACAAATTTCAAAAATAACCCTGGACTAAAATGCAATATGTGAAAGCAGATAGCAAGACATCCAGTGCGGATCGTTCGTGCTTTATTTAAGGTTGTCTGTCAATTTGCTTAGACAAAGTAATTGAGAGGAAATTGAGACGTCTTCACCATTGGCTCGTTTAAAAAGGGAAAACCAGTATGTTATTTCATTTTTTTCTGTTTTACCAGGCAAGAAAATGCCAGTTTCTGTCGTATTTACTTTCCGGTGATATTAATTTGCGAAGTGAGCCTTTCTCCTTTACGACAAATCTTCATACCAACTTTCTCATCAACGTTTGGACCAAACCTGATAAATTTTTGTTCCAAAAGATTTACTCTAAGTTCGCGCATCCACTTTCTCGAATGGTAAACAAGGCAGAAAGGGGACTGGAGTTTATATTCCAGAAAACCCATGAAGAACGCGTCGGGATTCACTTACGACCCTGAACCTTCGCAGCTACTTCATGTAGCGGCACAAGATCAGCGAACAGTAAGCTTCTGAGCTTTTAGCTAGTACCCTTTGCTGTCTAAATAGTACTTCATGATCTCTTAAAGCTTCCTTCGCGCTCCCAGTTTACTGTATACAAGACTATTCCATTTTTGTTGTTTAAAAAGGCCATTCGAGCCCAATTGCAAAAAAAGTTTTGCT